TGAGCCACCCGCAGACCCATCCCGGCTGCGGCACGGTGGCGTGGCCTTGTTCTGCACCCACAGGCTCCTGGTGCTCAGCTGCTAGACAGGGCCTCCTCCCCAGGCCCCACATTTCCTTTTTATACCTGTCCCACTCCACTCCCCCATGCCCCAAACCACTCCTTTTAGGGGAACTGAGCTGTGTGTCAATGAAGGAACCACAAGATCGTGGGCTGCTAGAGGAGGATTGAGAAACCCTGGAGTTTTTAAAACTTTGGGCCAGGTCTCCATGAGGCACCTGCCAGCAGGACAGCCACAATGTGACGATCTGGGTGCTCCCGAGGGTGTGACTCAGCCCTGTTTCCAAAGACCTTCCTGGGTTCCTTCCCGTCTGCACCTCGCCTCTCGCTGCTTGCCAGCACCTTCCTGGTTTTTCTGGCAGTCTCTTACTTCTGCATCTCCAGCCCTCAGCCCAGGACCTTGGCCAGCTTGAAACTGGGCACAATTAAGTTACATAAGCCTCAGAATCCTGAACAAGGTTGTTATTTTCTCCCCACATTCAGCATCGCCCTGCCTGACCTATCCCCTCAACCCCCAAACTTTCCCTCTCTCGAACTCCCTCCCCACCAAATTTCTCCTAGGGAGGGACCGGCAAGCCTTGATGGGGAGGAAAGCAAAAAGCCCTGAGCCAAGGGCTCCCTTTTGGGTCCAAGATCCCTCCTTTTAGCAATTCATGTGCTGAGTATTTAAAGGGAAAGCCGGGAGAGGAGGGGGAAATTCCCGAAAATGCTCTGAAGCCCAATGCTGTTTTGCTTCCTTTTTGATGCCAAGCAAGTTGGGGGAGAGGGTCTGTTCAAGCCTTGGGCTGCAGCTCAGTTCTGCGGAGGAAATACGGGCCACTCGTGATGTTCCCCGATGAGCAGCTGCACAGACCATCTCAGAAGGTCAATAGTCTCTGCTCCTCTCTCAGTGAGGCTTTTGAAACCTAAGCCTAATGACGTGGCCCCTCTCTAAACCCTCCAGTGACTCCTCATTACTCTGGATAAGAATACAATTCTTAACAAGGCTCTGCAGCGTTTGGCCCCTGTTTGTGCACACTTTTTTTGGCCAAAGATCCAGGACAACTTCATTCTTTGCAGACTACAGATTAATTAATAGGCAGGGAGTGAAAAGTTCAGTGCTCTGAGGGCCAGAATGGGTCAGAGAGCTTCTCAATAATAAAGTTCCTTTATTTTTACAATAACATTAGGTAATAATCAGATGGTGTCCTCACTGGTTCCGTAGCCCTGTTGGTGAGGTCTCTCTCCTCTCCTCTTCTTTCCTTCCTTTCTCTTCCTCTAAAACACGAACACCCCCTCCCCTTCCTTGTCAGAGGGGTGGACAAATAGTGCTCTGTCCGGAATCACACTGTGAATACTCACGGGTCACCGCTTCTCTCTTTTAAGGACTGTCTCCTTTCATACCCACGGTG